GTCTCTTCCAACCAAATTGGTTCTGTGAAATTGAACAGGAGGAGCATGTATCAAAAAAGGACTTTAACCTGGTAAAATACACTGAACAGTATAACACTGCTGTAGAGGGAAAAATCTGTTTACATCTTTATCAGTGTTTGACCATTTCTAAGAGAAAGATGGAGTGATTATCAGTCATGATCTCTTTGAAGTTCTTAATAATAAACAATATATTTAGGAGCCTTTCCTAACTAGGCATTGTTCTGATTTTGCGAATAACTAAATGATTCTGAAAAGACATACTTGAATAATTTTCACTCTAATTCATCTTGTTGTTTTTTTGATAGGGACAGTTCCTTGCTGAGGATAGAGGCAGTTCCTTAGGCTGTTTATCAACCTAGGGAAATAAGAAAAATGCTTCTTAATTTCAAAGAAAAGTTCGTTCTATTTTGCTACTTTATATTGTGTACTTGTTATAATTACATGCGGAAAAGGAAACTGGAAGTTGGATTTAAAAAAGCAAAATTCAAATTCCGTTTATCTCTGTTTTTCTCTCAGGTGGAAAGACATGACATGAATACCCTGAGTTTACCGCTTAACATTCGCCGTGGAGGCTCTGACACCAACCTGAACTTCGATGTACCGGATGGGGTCCTAGAGTTTCACAAAGTCAAACTCAGTGCAGATAGCTTGAAACAGAAAATCCTCAAGGTTACAGAGCAAATCAAGGTTGAACAAACAGCTCGAGATGGAAACGTGGCTGAGTATTTGAAACTGGTAAATAGTGCAGACAAGCAACAGGCTGGGCGCATTAAACAAGTCTTTGAGAAAAAGAACCAGAAATCTGCCCACTCCATTGCCCAGCTGCAGAAGAAATTGGACCAGTATCACAAAAAGCTCAAGGATATTGAACAAAATGGATCTTCCAAAACTACTAAGGATACTTCCAAAGATAACTTGAAAGATACTCAGCATGGAAAGCCTCGTACCTCTGGGCATGGAACAGAGAGCAGCAAGTCGGGTGTGCCGGGTGTATCTTTGACACCACCTGTCTTTGTTTTCAGCAAGTCTAGAGAGTTTGCAAACCTGATCCGAAACAAATTCGGTAGTGCAGACAACATTGCTCATCTCAAAAATACCTTGGATGAATTTCGGCCAGAAACGAGTTCCAGAACATACGGAGGCAGTGCCACCATTGTTGCCAAACCAAAATATGTTAGTGATGATGAATGCTCAAGCGGGACCTCTGGCTCAGCAGACAGTAATGGGAATACTTCCTTTGGTCCTGCTGTGGCAAGTACCCTGGACAGCCAAGGAAAGCTTTCCATGATTTTGGAGGAACTAAGGGAAATCAAGGAGACACAGTCCCAATTAGCTGATGATATTGAGAATTTAAAAACACAATTTAAAAGAGACTATGGCTTTATTTCTCAGATGTTACAAGAGGAAAGATATAGGTATCTCTCTCTTTTTTTTTTTTTTTTTTTTTTTAACTGTTCTCTTGAAATTACTTTTGAATGGGTATAGAAGAGATTTGGAAAGTGTAAATGTGGGTGTATGCTTGTGTGTGTGATATTTCAGAAGCAAGAGGAAAAAATAATTCCAATCAGTATCTGGTACCAAAATGTTCCACTCCTTCCAATAACTGAAAATACATGCAGAACATTAATATTTCCTATCAAATGATGTGGTAGTTCTTTGCCTTTTGTCAAAGGCTTGCCAGAAAATTCTCTCATCTGCTGTATTACGTGAATACTGCGTGCAGGTGATGCCAGTTGTTTTGTAACTGTTGGAAGGATTCTGATCTATTGTGACTTGAAAACGCTCATCAGTCAATGGTGTAGCAGAGCTGACTTAGAGCTGATAAGTATACCCTTTAGTCCCCAGTACCTTGTCCAAATACTTCTCAGACACATTGCGATCTTGTGGATGCCATGTCACTTTGTACCCTGGTGTAACACAGGGCTGTGAAATGTCATTTTAAGTGCTGTAGCACAACCTCCTCTTGCCTTTGTTACTTGGCCATTAATTCCTTTATCGTCCACTGTGGGAAGTGAGGTATGTTCTACAGAGGGCTTGCACCTGGTGTATCTACATCCCATTTGTACTATCGCTTGTTAAAGTAAATATTGATTCTTGAAGTCTTTACTAGGCTAATGGGCAAAACCTCAGTATGAAATGCAATATTTAACGTTTCCCTTGTTTACAGTTCTTGAAATACAAGGGAAGGCTGGATACAGGCAGTAACATGGGGGAGGAAAGAACAGAGCGAATGGCCTACTGAACTCAGGACCCGGTTTCAGAAGGCAGAGAGCGGCCTTTTCTGACAGCTCGCTGCTATTAAGAGCTCAAGCCTCCTGCCACCATTTCCATAGCTAGACAGTTTTGCCTCCATCTTTTGTGCCGACTGCAGTGTTTGCCTATTTGTGTGTTAAATTCAAGTGACAAACTCACAAAAAAAATTTTCTAGTTTCCTGAAGGTTTAGTTGAACAGGTTTACTGTGCAGAGACGTGCCAGAACAGGCTGTACGTGAATGGCAGGACCTTGCAGTTGTGTTTGAGAGGGGATCCCGGGAACATATTTTTCTTTTCACTACTGGTGAGCTGTTAACTGGCTCAAGCTTACTCATGAAACCATATCTTCTTGTCTAAATGAAGAGTGAGAAATGGAAAAATGTGAGTTGGATACCCTTAGGCACTGTTTATAGTTCATATAATTTGCCAATGATGTATAAATATTTGCTTTTTAACACCCACTGCCAGCAAGAAACACTCAAAAAAGGCCTCCGGTTTGCTGAATAAATGGTTATGGAGAGTTTCCAAAGTCTTTACTGATTTCTCTCTGTGCTCTGTAATGCCAAATAGATGAATCCATAGTACACTGAGAAATTACCTTTTAAAATGTGTAATTGTTTTCATGATTTAGCATTACTTGAATAGAAAGCACTAAATTTAGACCTTTTTTCCTAATAAGATACGAAAGATTGGAAGACCAGTTAAATGACCTCACTGATCTTCATCAACATGAGACAGCAAACTTGAAACAAGAGCTAGCCAGCATAGAGGAGAAAGTGGCGTATCAGGCATACGAGCGATCACGAGATGTTCAGGTACTTTTTTTTTTTCCCTTATCATTACATTTCTAACATTTTGTAGAAATCTTGTACTGTAGAACACTTGCATCTTTCTACATCTTTGTGTATAAGGAAACTGGGGAAAGATTTAAGCCCATGTTTTGTCTGTTTGAAGGTGAAAACCCAGCACATTTTAATTGGTGACAGTCTCAATTTTTTTCGATGGATTCAAAATAGTATCTGCTGGAACTGATGATAGAGCCTAGGCAGACTTACGGATGAAGAACGGCTGGTTTTATTTTCTTGCACCAGAGGAGGAAGGAATTGAGTCTCCTCGTATTGTGTAAAATGCCACTTTTGACAATGTCCTAACACAAACCTCTTGCTCAGACTTTCTGCAATATGTAGTCATATCACTGGCAAGGTTTATTATAAATAGATTTTAAGGTAAAAAGTAAAAGAGCTAACTGCTAAATAGACTTGTAGATTTGCCAGTTATAATTTAAGAGTTTTAATCCATGGTTGCAACAGCTCCTATAATCCAAGCTGTAGGGTTTGTTCACTTCAGTGATCGGTTTAGTCATGTCTGACTTCAATCAAAAGCCAGTAATAATGTCTTCAAGTTTGTCCTGACAGCATGTAGTTACATACTTGAATATTTATATACAATATAGGCATTTATATAATGCATAATATTTCCACCCAAAGTCTGAGCAAGTGATGAAAAATTGTGAAAACATTGTTTTACCTTACCGTGTGTTTAAATTCACTAACAACTGAGGAATGTTCAAAGACTGTCTTCATATTGGCTCAAATGGTGAAAAAAAACCAAAACAAAACAAATCCACCCTGTCATGTAGACCCTTGTGCTCACATTTCTAAAGGTAGAGAGTGCGGGCAGCAGGGTGATTACACTGTTTGCTGACTGGTGTGAGAGTTGGGAAACTCCTGGGAGCAGAGTGGGAAAGGGATGGTACTGAATCTAAGCGTATCAGAGGTTCCTTTGTAGGTTTAAAGAAGAGAGGTCTCTCGTGCAGGACTTGTGAAGGCATCTCGAGGATGTAAACACTGAATGAGACCCGAGTTCTCCAGCAGAAAGGCTGTGAAACATTCACTAACTCGTTAGCAGAACCCTGGCAGGGTGTCAGAGACTTTTAAAACTAAATTGAAGTGCTATGTTGATACAGCCTTGTTACTTTTATCTCTGTACAGTTGGGCCTGTTTAAACCTGTCTCCTTGGGGGTTTGGCAAATAAGCTAAAATAGAGTTAAAAGCATTTAAGTTGTGGATATTTTAACTAACAACCTAACTTCAGAGCACTCTGTCCCTAAGGGACAGGCAGATCGTTTTTAAAACACTTGCTCAGCCCCTCAATGCAGAACTGCAGATATCAGACTTTTGCAGCTGGACTTTCTCTAAAGCAGCACGAGATGATCTGAGAATAAATTACTGTCAGAGTGGAAGAAGGACCAGGAGGGCTCTTTAGAGTGTAGTGGAGAGCATGCATGAACCCGAAGGGACTTCATGCCACCCATAAACTGTCTTCTGTAGTATTACTAATTCCTGGAACAGCGAAAGGAAGCAGTCTTTTGTAAGGTGCAGTGCCACGGTGCTGACTTTGGTGCCTGGCTGATCACACGGTAAGCCAGTTCAACTTGCCAAAACAAGGGAGAACTGACCCAGCAAAAGAAAGCGAGTAACTCTGTGTGCAGTGGCTTGTTTTGTTGGTTTTTACACAGAGGATTGGGTTGAATCAGCTTACTGTGTGGTCAAGTGAACACCCCTGTCAGCGCAAGGAAAACGTTTGGAGTTTGAGCGGGGAAGGAAGTAGGAATGCAAGAGTGTGATTTTTCCCTTTTACATAGTGGTAAAAGGTTACATCAAGTTGATCGATCTCATTAAATTACAGCCTTGCATCATGCTACATAGTGGTGCCCAGTTCCCAGCTCCAAAAAAAAGTGGCATTTTGGCAAGTAAGTGAAGCAGTTGGAAATTTTTCCGTGTTTCGCTTTACTTAACCGTGGGGTTAGTGACTTAGGAATCATTTTACTCAAAGACCATTGTTAGTCCACCCTCAAGCAGAAAAGAAAGGTATGCTTTCTTTAGAACACAATGTGAGGTGGAATATATTGTGAGAGAGAGAGTATCCCATGAAAGCATCACCGCAGATTTCTCCACTGTCCCCAGTGCATGCTGCCCACTCAGGGTATGGATTAAGGAGCCTTCCCCCTGGCAGAGGGAGAAGGCAATCTCTTGCTGAGGACTCAAGCCTAGCACCCTACGATAGGTGGCTTTGAGAGAAGAAGTAATGTAGACCAGAGAGGTGGTGTAAACCAAATACGACATGTTGCAATGTAGATGTAATTAGTACCACAGCAAGCCTGTACTATCCTGATGTTTTCTATAGCGTATACAAAGAAACCAACTTCAATGCTGTCTTAGTGCCCTGAAAGTTGCCACGGCAACAGCTTTCCCAGTACTTTATCTCATCAGTATATGCAGGAAACATCTGTCGTGAACATTAGAGTTTTCTCAAGCATAAAAAATGTAAAAACTACATTTTGGACAGCGTTGTCAGATTTGATTGTGCCCAAGCAGGCAGTGATACACACATACAGATACAGATGTGCATTTATTTTGAAAAAAGTTGGTGGTTCATTCAAATTTCAGGAGTCTATATTAAATTACAGTTCTAATCTAGCTGATGGATGTCTCTGCAGCTGAAATGGGGAGAGTGGTGTATGGGAATGCAGCTGCCCTAATTCTCGTTTTCTGTCTCCAGGAAGCCTTGGAATCGTGCCAGACCCGGGTCTCAAAGCTGGAGCTCCATCAGCAAGAACAGCAAGCGCAGCAGTCCGAAACAGTTAATGCCAAAGTGCTCCTGGGGAAATGCATAAATGTTATCCTGGCCTTCATGACTGTCATCTTAGTGTGCGTTTCTACTATTGCAAAGTTCATTGCTCCTATGATGAAGAGCCGTTTTCATATCATCTGCACTTTTTTCGCAGTGACGCTGCTGGCAATATTTTGTAAAAACTGGGATCATATCATTTGTGCCATAGAAAGGATGATTATACCAAGATGAAGCTGCTGGTCTGGCTGCTTTCTTTTTCTTTTTTTTTTTTTTTTTTTCTTCCCCTCCCTGTTTTTTAAGTGCTGTGCATATACAGATTATTTTTTGTCAGTTTAAATGTGCAAACTGGATGGAGAAGGCTACAAAAAAGACTCTTGGACTTTAAGGTGTAAATAGGTGAATGCATACTTGTTGGCAGCCTGTTCAATCTGATTGTGTCTAACTGGCTATGTCTGTGATGAACTGCTCGCTTATGTCAGTCTTCTGCCTTAATCCAGCGGGTTTTCCACTTCACAAACCCACCCCCACAAAAGACGGTATGATCCGCTGGGAGGGATCCAAGCCACTGCAAGTGTCAGGTGTGCTCTGGACTGGACTAGAGTGCAAGGAGTGTGATCGGCAGGGAGCCCACCATAACACGTTTCAGCCCTCTTAGGCTACTAAGTTAATTTTCTCTCTGAATCCAACTAGAATAAGCCAAACTATATGGTCATATGTAATAAAAGTTCTTGATTCTAATTAATGGGTATCTGTATATGGGGTTTCTGGTTTTCAGGACCAGCAGAACTTGGTGCTTCTGCTAGTAACCTTTTGCACAGAGAGTTTATTGTTTGTAGATCAGACCAGTGATGACTGTTGACCATAGTTAGCGGTTGTTCTAACCTGGCACTCTTCCTTACCATGTTTGGGAAACACGTAAATGTGGCACAAGACTTCCAAAGATGAATTGAATGACAAGATCAAGGAGTAAAGATGCAAGTAACTGGTGGGTAAGTTGTTGTGCAGACCAAAGCACTCACTTGCTTCAAGCCCTGCAATCTCTAAGGGGAAAGAAGTAGGCAGAAAGGCAAGGTTGAGGTTTGCCGTCGTTAGCACTGAGTTGTTGGGGTGCTCTAACGGAATGCAAACAAGATAGGTGGTGGGACTCTGGGTACAGTGGATTTCTTTCTTGTGTCAGATGAAGGAATGTGGAAGAAGCACGGGGGAACAGCTTCTTGGGGGAGCAGGGAGTTAAACTTCTGTAAATACACAAACACCGGGCAGACTTTCTTGACAAACATTCCTGAAAATAAGGTATTAGTATACAGAACTACTACTAGGAGACAGGGTTGGTTTTGTTTTCTTACTGGAATTTCTTTTGCTTGATTTAAGAATTGCACAAAAAAATTTCCCCGAAATCTGCTTGGTTTTCAGCCATGATGTAAAACAGGATCTTTAATAAACCAAAACAAACCAAACCACCACAACCAGAATTCTTCTCCACTCTCTGTTAAATGAAAAGACAGTGTCTCCAGTTATTTGATATTCAGTGTTACTTACTTTGAAAATAATTGTCACGACAGATTTTCTTTTCAGTTGCACTAAGTGTTATCCTGGTTTTACAGGCGCGGGGGAAGGGGGTTACTTGACGTGTGTATTTTTTTTAATCAAGTGCAATAGCTGGTGTAGAAATGCAGAAGACGTTAGTCTGAGGAAAGGGAGTGGGGGAGGGCAGGCAGGGGAAGAACTTTGACATTTTACCACGACTGGACTAACAGTGAATACAGTTACTTTTTGGGGCTTCAGGGACTGAAGGAAGGATAGAATTAATTGCATAAACAATGATATGACTCAGCATTTAGAAAATTCAATTAAAACACTTTCAAAATTGCTGAAGAATTCTTTATCTGTGCTACATCTTTGAAGAGACGAATCGGGAAGGGTCGTGCTGGCTTGCAGGCACTGGATATGGATCAGGTTGGGCACAGCCATGTTACCCTAACCCAGCCCTGCCTCAGCTTCAGAGGAAGGTGGGGGGAAAGCAAAAGTCCTGCTGAGAGGGATCTGACTTTATAAAGCCCAGACTTACCAACTGGTTGATCCCTGGCTGTGTCGGGGAGAATTACTATATAGGTACACTCTTCTCCTTAATGGGCTTGGTCTTTTTGGTTTTTTTTCTCTTTGCCTTTACCCCCATGTTCCTGGTATCCCCTGAAGAAGGAAAGAGGTATTGTGTTACACATAAAACTTTTCTGTCTTAATTGCTGCGTGTGCTCCTGCAGCTGTTTGGTTCAGGGAGACTTTTGTTCTCGTGTCTGTTAACCCATTTTGGCACTGTACACCTGCATTGCAACAGGCCTTTTCCCCAACCTCCCAAGTACCTGTATGTAGCCTCCTTTTACAGCCAGCGAATAAACCGAGGGGGTTGCTTCCACCGATGCAGTTCATGAACTTGTCTTCACAGGAAAGTCCCTCCCACAATGTTAAAAAAGATCAAAAGGAAAAAAAGTAGCAGCTCTTTCCTGGCCTCTACATCACAAGAAAGGGTTTCCCTTGGTTTGTTTTTGTGCCCTTTTGACATGTCCTGAGATCCCCTTGGGCTTTTCCACTGTTTTCCTATAATTTGTTCCTATCTTCATTTTTGAAAAGGCATATAATGTCTTTTTATAGACTGAACTTTCCATTTCTTTAGCCAATGAGCATGCTTCTATTCAGAGCCCTTTCCTTTCTGAAATCTTTTTCCTAAATTCCACCCACACACTTACCAATCACCCCTATGACCTTCCCCCCC